ATTCAAAGTGTGTTTGGGAATTTCTTTTTAAACATTTTCAGTCAAATGTAATGATTTTCACTCTTTTGGTCTGGACACTAAAATTGAAGCTAGTCAGAAATGGGAACTGTACTGCTACAGCTGACCACCAGAGGGTGTAGCATAAAGAAGCACAAAAGATAGACATGAATGGAACGTTTGACCAACTGTTAAGGTTAATTCTCTGAGGGACGCCTCCTGAGCTCAGTCACCCCCCCACCACAACACTTTCTTTAATCCTAGGTGAATGTATAAATGTACATAAAATGATTACTGTGGCGTGGATGGAAGAAAATCAAGGAGAACTGTTTCATCATGCTAAGCTGAACCAATAGAGCGTAACAGTGTGGTACTGAAGGTAGAAATCCTATTCAGTTTAACCATAGTTGATCCACCTTAAAACTCATCTACTCGCAGCTTAGCATATTCCAAAATTTAGAGTTTGCGCAAAGATTTAACATCCTGCAAAATCTGAAGATTTTTTTTTTTGTGTTATTTCAAACATGTTTCAGACAACGCGATAAAGCCTGTATCATGGTGAAATACTACAGTATTGTCTACTGGAGGACTTGTGTAATTGTGATGTTGAGCACAGTTAATGAACTCATAAGCAGCCTACAGACCGAATACTCCCTAACATGCAGTACATGTCACCTACTTTATTACTACAATATCCTGCCACACTATAAAAACAGCAGGCTAAAAATTCACACAAGTGAATGAAATCAGTAGGAACGAGCTGGAGTTTGATGTGTTGCGTAGGTCCTTCACTTTTACAACAGCCATGTTTGTAGCCTTGTACCTGTGTGCTTTTTTTTATACTTTGCAATATTGTTTTCACTCTGAGTCGTATGTTTGTCTTATTTTCTTTTTGGATACAGTTCTGTAAAAGTCGTTAAAATGCTCCATTCCCCACCAGCTGTGGCTTCACATTGAGTGCAAAAATATACAAAGTGAATCAAGGTACCCATCCATAATCTCCGACTTAGCAAAAATACAATCATTCCTGCCGTTTTTCTTTCCTTCTAGTCGCAGTATTTGGGGGTGTTCCAATAAGAGGCTCCCCTTCATCTGGTTTCATCCAGTTTGTCTGTTCATATTCACGTGTGTAATTTCCCTCTGCACATTGGCTCACCATGAGCTAAGAAAGAGGTTGAAGCAGCATTTCATTTGGCCTTCTAGGGACCGTTTAACAACCGTCGGCCTGATTCAGGATCGAGCTGCTTCTCTGTGTCATTCTAGAAATCCAAAAAATTACACAAAGTCCGTGTTTTCTGTTTCTGTCCCGGGGTTGTCTCCTCCTGTCGGAGGACGCTGCCGTAAAGTCTTTAAACTAATTAACCACGAGTGTTTTCACCCCAGTGTTTTTTCTGGGTGAACACACCATCGACTGGCTGGAATAACTACATCATCTGCAGTGTCTGGTTCTATGTGCAGATTTGTTGCTCAACAGATGAGTTGGTATTTGTCTATAATGTCTAGTAGAGTGCTTGTTTGTGGCCATATCAGTATATCATATCAGTGTGTGTGTGAGAGAGAGAGAGATTGGTAGAGTGCTGCCAGTTCAGCTTCTTTAATCAGCCATAACATCTTCATGGACACATTATTTTTTTCTGCAGGTGTTAAATCTGTTTTCCATGTATCATGTAAGCAATTTAGATGCATAGATGTGCCTTCTATGCATGTACCTACTTGTATGTGATAGGTATTACAAAACAAACAACAGTTCTCTTGTATTTTCCATCATCATACGGAACCATCGTAACGCATAAATGTGAATCGTTTCGCCCTGAACATCCTGAACAAAAAGGAATAACGGTGATTGCAATGCAAACAAACTATATTTTTTGACATGTATATTGTACATGAGTACCAGGTAGTGGAGAATGTACCGACTAAAACATATCTACTTGCCAATAAGATATACTGTATGTATATTCCTCCAGCTTTCTCTCTATGACGCAGGGAGGGACCTCACAAAGCTTCAGAGGTTTTATTGTATGACTTTCAATGCAGTTAACCATGTTAACTTCCTCAATAACAATAAATGGCTAGCTAATGCCTCAACAAGTGGTGTTTGACATTTGTTTATATCTGTGACCATTTCTATGACTGAGAAAAGAGCCATCTTTTAGAGCTCATTTGTGAACACCAGGAAATGTTCTCACTACTCACCTGATATATTGTACTATACAGTATTTAAAGGAGTACACAAAAAACTTTTACTTTGGTTTTTTATTGTATTGAACACAGCAGCAATCACCCTCAGTTCTAATGAGTTAGAAACCCCTGTTCTACAGCTTAATTCTTTTTAGGGCCACAGGAGAACTGAAGTCAACCCTAGCCATGGATGTGGATTCACCCTGAACAGTTCCCCAATCAGCCACAGGGCAATTTAGAGTAAGCTGTGTTTTTAAAAATGAGCTAAAATGAACCAAGTAGCATGGGTGAAGATTTTCAGGTTTGGATGCAAAGGTGCTGAATAATGTTAAACTGCATTTTAATCTCCAAGCACAGACAGTTTGACAATGACATCAAACATAACAAACAGCCGTTCATTTTAAAGTTCCACTCTACATTCAACAGTACTTGATTTTAACTAACAGTGCTGTGCATTGAAGAAGAAGCTTTTACCCTGTGACAGTCACCACAGACCAACGGTCACACCAACAGAAAAACCACAACTAATGATTCGCTCTGACTTTCTCTGCACTAAGGAAACCTGTCTCTTCTGTGTTGGCTGTCAGTGGCGTCACATGCTGTGGCTAAACCAGGAACTATTTTTGACATTTCTTCCAGTTTAAATTGGACCTGCATACAGTACAATGATGGCTTCACAAAATAACCCATGACATTTATTATGAACTAATAATATAATATAATGATATAAACACTTACATTTTTAAATGTCTTTAAAAGTTACAGAAAGTATGTATCTCTCTGAACATCATCGATAAAGACGGTATATATTATATATATTTAACCAGTGCAAAATGTATCCAGTAGGTGGCAGTAATGCAACTGACAAGACTCAGTGTTTTTGGTAGAGCCCAAATTAAAAGCGGACAAAACCTTCAGTGTAAGTAACCGCTAACGTGCTATGTGCTAGTCAGTGCATCTGTGTTACGGAATGTTAATAATGGCGCTTTCCGGAAAATTAAGAAGTCCTGGATTTCAGAACGCAAAGTTGAATGTTCTACGTTCCAATTGCTCATTGTTATCGAACGCATCAGACCGTTAAAATATACAAAACCCACCAACATCCCCTTTACCTTTTTGTTTCGTATGTCTTTTGGAAAATGTTTGGTCAATTGAACATTCGATGTCGTGTGTGAGGTAGCCGGGCGGGTTAGACGTTACAAAGAAGTAACCACAAGAGGGCGACAGAGGGCTGTCCACAGTCTCACTGAGACCGAGTGAATGACAGTAATTTAATTCGATCTAAAGCTTTAGGTCCAGGGGGACACACTGACCCTAATCTAATAAATCACACCGCCTCCACAGACGCTGAGTGTTGTGACACAAAGGTGTGTTTCTCCCGTGTAACGTTACACACCCGTGACAGTAACTGGCTGTGGCTCTTGTTACTGACGGTTCTCTTTAAAAGGGTTAAGGTTAACTCCTGGCGTTGTTTGTATAATAGCATTACATAATCATCCTGGGCTGTAATTGCACTGTGCTGCACTTCTATTGGATTTGTATTGTGTTGTACATAATAAGTGCAGCTGTTTGGCTCCAGGGGGAATAAAAGGCCAAAAATAGATTCATTAGAAACATTCCCATATGGAGCATGAATGAACGCCAGGGCTAAAAAAGATGAGAGTGTTTCAGGTTACTAAGTAACATCTCCACTAACACGTGCCTGTTATTGCCTGGTGGAGCAGATGAATCACTGCACGTACATAGTTACAGAAATAATTAACTTTTTGTAATATTGTTAAAGTTTGTTCAATGCTTTTTGTCCAGAGGTGGTGAAAAACAATTAACCCCCTGTGTTTAATATAAGAATGGACTTTGTTAAAATGAGAATAATTACAAATACACCTGAACAAAAGTCACATTTGTTTGACAGAATTAGTTGAATGTGAAAAGGCTTCAGTTTCTCTAAGGCCACGGTGCAGGGGTGAGAGTCAACGCAGCAGTCAACCAACAATTTGTTGTTTCTTTAAGCTGTGTCTCCGATTGATATTAATAGTGAACCTAACGTCACAGTATGTGTCAGGATTATTGTCAATGTATTTAAGAGAAACGTGTTTGTCCAGCTGCCGTCTGCAGTGCTGTCAGACCGTACAGCCTAACGCACGAGCTGCAACTCTCCTTAGAACCAAAGAGAATTTGGCTCTAATCTCATTTTGATTATGCTGCTAATTTAGTTATTTCAGATCATAATCCACTCACTCGCTCTTTTTGGGAAAGAAAAATGTCTGCTTCAACTCCAGCTAATGGAGAACCACTCTGTGTTGTGTCTTCTGTAAATTTGGGGAAATTTACCTGTTGTTTTTTTTAATTATTATTGTTTTTTTTGGCAGCTTTATACCTGGAAAAGTAAATAGTTTAAAAATAATTTAAATCTTTAGGGATGTACAATATTAGCTTAAAGAAAATGATCTCATCACAGTTGTAGTAGTGATCCTGTTGCTCTCTCTCTCTCTTTTAAACTTTGCTCATCAGGAATTGACTTCCTGTCAATATACGAGTGTTTCCTGTAGCATAGTATTGTGGCTTTGTAGCCTCGTCAAGCGCATCCCAAGAAGAAGTCATGTTTGTGAACTCAAACATGACTGATGTTAACTTTTTCGCCGATATACCGATATTGTCCAAACATTTAATTTCCGACACCGATATCAACCGTTACCGATATATGCAGCCGTTTTCAAAAACTCGAAACCTCTGCTGTGAAAGTCTCAGAATCCCAGAAGCAATTCCAGCACATTCGACGAAACCCAGGCATGGCATTATCGGAAAAACCGATAACGATTCTTACAGATATTATATAAATATGTTAATATCGGGCCAATAATATCGGCCGGACAATATTATTCGGACATAAATATCTACGGTAGGTAAGTTAAGTCATGTCAAATCGATTTATTCATACTTTGTAGAACGGAAATAGAGAAATGAAGTTTAATTAATACAATTAATTATGAACCACTGAATCATTTGGAAAGTAACTCCAGAGATGAGAGTGAGGGTGGAGGTAGTTAATGGGAGACAGACAGAAGAACCGTGGGAGAGAGGGAGGCGGAGCCAACCTTGTACTACAGTGGCTGACAGTGGGGAGGAGAGCAGTTCAGAGGATGCTGGAAGCTGAGGCCAGGCTGCTGCTGGATTTCTGTCTGTCACACTGAAGTGCATCTCGTGCTGAGAGAGAGAGAAAAAGAACAACAACACGTCGGTTTGAACGCCTCTGGTAAGAAAACGTTCTCTGTTTTCACTGACTTGCACTAATGAGTCACAACAGACGCTGGTTTATCATCAAAAGTAGATTTATTAACATTTAGTTCATGTTATTTAACAGCATCAGCATTTGATATACTTCATTTGATTCACCTGTCAGGGGTTTAAATAATAGATTCATACAAAAACAATTTCATAGATTTTTCACTAGAATTAGGAATAAAATAACTGTTTTCTTTTTTTTTTTAGTTCAAATGTGACTGGAACAATACTGCTTATCTTATGCACTGTTTTTTCTAAAAACAGATTATAATTGTGCCAGAATATGCATTTTCTTTTCTTTTTACCTTGACGTTCAAAGCTTTACTGTGATCATAAATTTAATTTAATTTTTTTATTGTGAATAGTCTGTTTGGTTTTTGGTGATAGGAGAAAAGCTACAGTAAAAATAAAGACAAATCTTCTCTGCACCTTTATAAACATTTGAAAAATACAATTTATACATTAGTATATAGTTTTTATTTTAACCAAGAGTCAGGGGAGCAGCAGAATTGATGCTGGCTCAGCAGGGGAACTGAACCTCTATCCTGTCATGACCCGTTCCCACCACTAGGCCAGGGTTTGCTTCTGATAGTTGGGTGTGTCTGTAAACGCAGTCGGGTTTCAGAACCAGTCGGCTCCAGACGAGAGATAAAGTTGATTGGAGTCCGTTCTGGAGGCTCTGACTAACGTTCTGTCTGTTTGGAGGAGTGGGAGTTGGATGAAGACTGCTTTTGGTGTTTCTTCATCAGGAACAACAGATTTCTGATATTTCTTTCTGACGTTTTGATGGAGTCAAACCCAGAACCTCCTCCATTACAGGCCAGTGTGCCTGGTCTACTGTTTGTGGCTTCAGTGAAGCTCTGGTTGGAAACCTTCTCTGCTTTTCTGAACAGTATGGTTAAATTATCTTTATCAAGAAATTTGCAGTGTGTGAGGCAGCCAGGTTGTGTCTGAGACGACGTCTCCCTGATAGAATTTGCTGGAATGTCCACTTTGAGTCACGGTCAATAGAATGGGAGAATGGAAGTAGAAGAAAGTTGCAGCAGAACGTTTACTGTCTGTTCATTTATTTCTTGAGCTATGGGTCACGACTGAAAAGATAGGATGGAAATACGAGCCTAGGAACCAGGAGATGAGTTTCCTCCAACAGTGACTGAGTTCAGCTCTGGAGATAATGTGAAACACTCAGTCATTCCTGTGGAGCCACTGCTGCTCCACCTCCACTGGAGCCAGTGTAGATGGTGGAGCATCTGTTCAGGGTGCCTACAGGGGAGTTCCCTGGGGAGGTGTTCCAGGCAGGAGGGGAGGGATTACATCTCCCAGCTGACTCGGGAATACAAAGCCAACAACCCCGAGGAGTTAATGGACGCTGCTGGGGAAATGGCTCTCCGTGACTGCCCCCCTGAGGAGGCTGACACCATGACGTGGGTGAGAGTTAATGTTAATATTCTGTACCTGTCAGTTCAGTGTCGTATTCATGTTACAGAGATAACGACTAATTTCACTCCCGGCACAGTTGAACAGACAGAAAGTTGTGTCTTTTTTTTTTTACTACATACAATGGTTTACATTTATTGGACCCCTCAGTGCTGAGACGCTGCTGCTGCTCAAAGTGCTAACGTGTATTAGCAGTAGAAGCAGAAGAATTAGCTCTGGTCCATCTGCTGCCGTGGCTGCCTTTATTGAGCCTGCTCTTCATTCCCTTGCTCCCTGTAATCACCACCCCATGATTCTCTTCAGCCCCCCCTTACCCCCCCTTCANNNNAGCTGTATTGACAGAGACGTGTGCTAGGTGGGTGGTGGTCAATTATACAGGACTGCTGAGCACTGAGGTGAAATATCATGCAGCTAATGTCCTTTAGTTGAAGTGTCAACCTAACTCAGCACTCACTGAGTGCTGAAAGTGGAGAAATCTCCCCCTGCTGTTGTTTTTTTGGCACCTCGGAGGATTTACAGTCAAGACGAAGATGAATCAGCCATCGTGAGTTGTGTAGCTGTCTGAACCACATGGATCCAGTCTTTATGTGAAACACTAATACAGGGATTTCTAAAATATGGTGTGAGCACCCTTGGGGTTGGGAGGTGTGCGCAAGCTACCACTAGGGGGTGCACAATGTAAAAAAAACGTGATTGCAATTTGGAGTGTTTTTTTTCAAGTGGAATTTTTCCACACAATAAAGACGTGTAAATAAACATTTCCTTTGTAAGATTTTAAATCAAAAGCCGACATTTGAAACACATGTAAAACATGATCATATATTTATAAATAGAATGTGGAAGAGAAGAAGAGATAAGAGTGGATGTGGACGCCTACCCTGGGAGTGGGTTTTCTCCACGTCTCCTGGTTTCCTCCCACTGTCACACATGATCAGGTTGATTGTTCACTCTTGACAGTGAGACCGTAGTGTGTGGATGGTTGTTTGTCTGTATATGTGGCCCCTGTGGCTGTACATCTGCAGCCTGTCCATCACACAACGTCTACGCCTCAGTTTGAACACGGGGAAAAACAGTTGAACCTGACATTACAGATCAGGTCAGACGTGGACTAACGTTCAAACAGATTTATGTACCAGAAGATCCTTTTGAGCAGTTGGAGCTGCTGGTCCTTGATTCAAAAACATTGTTATGGCATATTCAAAGGTCAGCAGCAAAAAAGACAGCATACATTTGTGTCCGTGAGACCGAAGACGCAGCTCCAAGGAAATGGATGTAGTGAAGGTGGATGAAGGAAACAGTGGAGAAAAGAGAGAAGACAAGTGTCAGGGATGTTGGACAGAAGGACGCAGCCTGATGAAAGATGATGAATCTGAAATTTTAGTTACTGGTATGAACAGGATTAGGATTAGATCAGAGAGAGAGTAAAGTTGGACTGATTTAAAGATAAAGTAAGAGAATCAGAGTTGAGACATGATAAGATAAGAACAAAAATGGAGACAATAGGAGTTTAGTAGAAAAGGAGGTTAAAGAGGAAATTATATGATATTATATATTATATTACATCTGTAAATGTAGTGTCCGTGCAGCAGTAGAGTAGCTGTACTCACAGCTTCAGTTCACAGCAGACTTGCCCATGCCAGGTATTGACCAGTGGTGGTCTTCTACTGTGGACAGCGGTGGCAGAGTGAGTGAAATTGCCCCTTTGATCATAAAACATAGAAAGGGCTGGGGTCAAGTCCACTGTGACCTCATCCGTTTGAAAAATCAGTTAAAATTCATGACTTTCCTCTTTTGGTTGCCTGCAGTGAGGAATGTCTCACCTGAGCTTTTAACAGTTTACATGCTGGGGCTGCACAGTAATTGACATTCCTCCTCCTCCACCTTGGACCTGCAGCTGCAGCGCCCTCTATCTGGGAGGGTGTAAACGTAGGAAAAGCCTGAACTGGAAATAAGATCCACAACATCTGTGTTGGTTTTTCTGTAGCTGTCTGTGGTTTTGAAGGTTGATGACTTGAACTGACCCCCCAGGATGGTTCCTCACTTCCTGTGTGTCAAACATCAGGTGGACTGTACTGCTGATGTGACCCCCCGCCCCCTACTGGTGAAAATGAGTCTGACACCCCTGCTCTAATGTAAGTCAGATCTGGGTTAAACTGCATTTGGAACCTTTTACAGGTGTTAAAGATCAGTACATTGATTATTTCACAGTTGTGTTCAGTAGATGGAGCTAAATGTCTTTTTTTTGGATTTGGTGACCAGATACTAATGCAACTTCAGGCTTATGATGTGCACGGTGCTGTGGTAATGAACATGAGATGAGGATACATGTGATATCCAACAGGAGACGGTGTTGGTCTGGACACTAACCTGCTCGTCTGTGTCTTCCTGTCTTTTCCTTTTTTTCATTTCCTTTCCTAACCTTTCCTTGTAAGGAAAGATGTATTTATCTTCGACTGGTGTAATAATGTTTCCCACACATCTTCATTACTTTGGGAAGTATTTCATGTATCCTTAAGTCCAGTGGTCTCTTCTAGTGCACAGAGAAGGAACGTCCTCACTGACCATGGTAGGATTTACACAGCAGATTACTCTCCCATCTAAGCTTGACTTCACCCAGGAGTCATTAGTAGGGGGTTTGAGTATGTTTATCTGTGTGTGTGTGTGTGTGTGAGAGGGTGTGTGTGTGAGTTTGAAAGTTAACAGTCACACCAAAAAGTCATCAGAGAGAGGATAAAGTCAGTGCTGATGAGTCTCAGCAGAACTAAGCTCCATAATCTGCTCTTATGACAAGCCTGAGTGGAGGATTGGACAGTGGACAGTGGACAGTGGACAGTGGACAGCGGTGATGTGACCTACAGTATGGGCCACCCAGTGTGTGATGGAGGTGTTGGTGTAGTTGGACAGTGGCAGGAGGAACAGTGCATGTATCTGAATGGATAAAACTGTTGTCATGACGACATCATTTCAGGTCCATTCAGGTGCGTTCTTAATGAAATACTTGGACTTCAACATCAGGGTTGATGTCAGTATTTCTAACGCGTTCTTAATGAAATACTTGGACTTCAGTATGAGTGGAGTTTTGATGCAGTGGTGTCGTTCCCCACGTCATCTGTTCTGGTTGATATGAACATGTACAGACACCTGGTGTGATGTGATGTATTGAACTGTATGTGCAGTGTCTGAGAGGACAGCAGAGCAGACTGCCATCTGTCAGAGCTGTGACCATATCATCAACAACCACAGGGAAGGTCAATAATGGACGTGACCAAAGAGAAAGGAAAGTGCGGCGTTAGTCATGAGTGGGAAATGGACGACCGGTCGAAGCCTGTGAAGTGGAGAAAATCAGTGTTTTGAGCCATAATACATTTTCAAACAAACAGTAAGTGAATGAAGTTAATGAAGATGCAAATCAGATTTTTCTAATCTTTGTAAATACACTCTGTATTAAACATTCCTTTTATTAAGTTGCAGACATCCATATAGTGCTGTTAGCTTCAAACTAAGTGACAATAATAGAATCTTTTTTTTCCCACCACATCTTCTGTCTGTGATGGTGATGTGTTGGTTGGTTATATTTCTGCCTTGTGAAAAAAAAAAAACCCCAGCACATGCTATAAGTAAGTGAAGGCCGTGCTCCCCGTGTCATGTTCTCCTAATGACGCTGTTATATATGAGCCTCCAACTTTCTATAGATCAGCTGAGATCTAGATTAGAGTTATTAATCCGTCCCTGGGGGTCGAAAACTGTTCCTCCATTTCTATTGATTTCACATTTTTCACCTTCTCTTTAATGTGAGTACCTCGGCCTCAGCGGTTCATCACTACTGTAATCACTAATGTGCCTCGAGGTGTGAACGTGATGTAAATCGTTGTGTTGATGTTTTTGCCTGGTTGTGGTGAACATACAATCTAATCTAATCAATCTCATAAACTGGGTTTACTAATGCGTTTGTGTCAAACGCAAGGCCCGCGGGCCAACTGAGGCCCGCTGAGTATTTTCTGTGGCCCAGGAGCTTAAACAGTGTTTAACTGCCTTATGATAAAGTGAGTTTCTTAACTTGTTAAATTTTCTTTTTACACAGAACATGTACAATAGTTGTAACTGTAGTATGTCATAATCAATTACAGAAACATGTATTAACATGTTATGGAGTATTTACAGCCACACAGTCTTACAGTTACACCTTCAAGGGGAATATCAGTATTGCTGATTGAGTTTGACCCCTTGACTCAGTGTTTAGTTTAACATCAGCTGTGACACTACTCTGTATAGTATTTTGTATTTTACTCGTACATGCTCCTTCAGTACTACTTTACATACAGAGGATGAGACTTCTGTATGTAGACCTTTATCTCTGTATGTACATACGACTCTAGATTATTCGATTATTTGAAGTGTAATCCCTTCCTGGAGTGCAGTTGTGATGTCAGAGCGGTGTTAGACACTCGTTCTTCTAATCCCTCCACTGTATTCAGGAAAGTGTGAGAAATTATGGAAATGGTTCTGGAAGTGTCCACTCCAACAAATAGACTTTTTATCAAAAGTAGTTAACATGGGTTCACAGGACAGGTCACCATCAATCTTAACACACACACACACACACACACACACACACACACACACACTGTATGATCCCTGGAGGTCGTTCTGTTCCTCCATAAATCGACACTAAGTGGCAGGTGTAAAACAAACCGGGGTTCATGTGATGACATGTGTCCTTGACAGGGTGGAGGTCAGGGAGGAGGAGGAGGAGGAGGTGGTGCGTTTAATGCTCCATTAACCTCCGCCTGAAAACCACCATCTGAAAAATAACCAAAATGATGAGTTAAAGAAAAGTCCAAATTTAAATGTCAATCATTTTAGTGAAAAAAATGTAAGAACAATCTCACGATTTCTGTCCTCTGACTTAGGTGTGTGAAAGCACAAAGGGTTAAAGTCATTGGGAGTACTTGTCCATGCAGGACCTGACACCCACGGTGACTGCACAGATTTGTCGACTCAGCACTGTTCTGTCTTTGAACATGAAGTAAGATCTTGTCAACGACTCTCAAGGATTCACTTTCTTGACTCAGTCCTGTGTGAGCGCAGCTGTGAGGATTCACTCTGGTTCTTCGAGATTAGCCACAGGATACACCTCAGTTGTGTATTATTTACAGTACTACTACTGTGTGGGAGTACTTGTCCACACCTGTGAGCCACACACTGGGTTCAGACGGTGAGAGCAGAGCTGTATTGATGTGGCGTCAATACGACATTGAGACTCAGATCTGTCTCAGAGTGTCGTTCTGCTGCTGAGCTCCACCACACATCCACCCGCTCCACCTGCTCCCATCTGTATTCAATTCAAGCTAGACTGGAGACAAATTAGAAATACTTCATGTGAAGTCCTTAATTTGTTCATTAAGTTTGTTCATTCAGTAAATGATTCAGTACATTAGAGAAAAGAACAGAATGACAGATGCATCTTTTCTCTGACGGTTTCTTTGACACAACGACGGTGTCGACAGACAAAATATATTTCAGTCTGAGCTCATCACTAAGACAGTAACCTGCGGGGTTAATGTTCTCCCTCTGTGTTGTCTTCCAATCTATCATTTTAATTTAGCCCGGACTATAATTGCCATGATGTGATTCATAACGACAAGACGTGACGATGTGGCGTGAGGTTTGTGTGTGCCTTGAAGCATTAGTAGTGAGAGGGAAAGGTAGCGGTCGCACTGAAAGGCAAAGTGTCCACACACTGTCCACAGTGACAGCAGTGACCCCTGACATTTCCATGTGTCACGGACAGGGCATTTTCAGAGACGAGGGGAGTGGGTGTTTCGGGGGAGGGGGGGTTAAAGCCCCTGAGCTGTTTCACAACTGTAAATATTTTTACCTTTGAGCGCCCCCTATCCCCTGTCATATGATCTAATGTTCAAAATGGTCAGTGTCTAGTGATGGGAGAGTTGAAATACGTCCGTGGAACAGAGTTTATGATCCTCTGTAGCCTGTCCCAGCGGTCATGGGGTGAGGGAGGGGTACACGCTGGACCAGGGGTGGCAGACTGCATACGACATACAACCTAATTAGATGTCACAAAGGCCGGACCAGACCAATCATAACCTAACTATAAATAACAATAAGTAAAAATCCCCTATGTTCCATCCATCCATCCATCCATCCATTTTCATCCGCTTATCCATTACCGGGTCACGGGGGCAGCAGTTGCCACCCAAATCACACTGCACCGTACCAACCGCCCCGAACCTTCCTGCAGGTGGTGAGTCCACTGGAAGGTACCAACCGCCCTGACTGGGATTTGAACTTGCCCAGGAGGTGAACCCTGGGGTTCCACACCAATGACAGAGACATTGCGTCTGGGCCAAAGCGTTTCGGGTCCCCTATGTTTTCATGCAAATAAGTACAGTAAAAATCCCCTATGTTCCATCCATCCATCCATTTTCATCCGCTTATCCATTACCGGGTCACGGGGGCAGCAGTTGCCACCCAAATCACACTGCACCGTACCAACCGCCCCGAACCTTCCTGCAGGTGGTGAGTCCACTGGAAGGTACCAACCGCCCTGACTGGGATTTGAACTTGCCCAGGAGGTGAACCCTGGGGTTCCACACCAATGACAGAGACATTGCGTCTGGGCCAAAGCGCCACGGGTCCCCTATGTTTTCATGCAAATAAGTACAAGTTTATTAGATATTTATGTATTATTTATATTTAATGAAAATGAATTTTACTAAAAATATCCTCAACTTGAAGTGAAGAGTATTTATTTTTATTTTCATCAAGCGGGCCTGGATTGGACCGGTTTTGGACTGCGTGCCGTATGTTTGACACCCCATGCGCTAGACAGTTCATCACAAGTAACGACACTAATACCAACTGTATAAGGTCAGGTTAGAGCGTTTGTCCAGTTAGCCTAAAGTTATATGAAGTTTTTGTATGTGAGAGGAAACCAAAAAAACCCCGACACACAGGAAGAGAAGATGGAACTCCAGCAGTGATCCATCTGTTGACCTTTGGTCTTAGGCTCCAGGGAGCCCCCAGACTTGATGTGGATATTCTGATTAGGTTTGACATCTGTTTATTCACATCAGGACTTGAAGCTCTTTTAAACTGAGTTTCTGTCTTTGTATAAATGTGACGTAATCATCATCAACCTGCTGTAGATATCCAACATATAATTTTGAAGACAACAATTCATTTTCTGTTTTCATACGAACGTTGCAGCGTGTTTGTGTTTGTGTGTGTTTGTGTGTGTGTGTGTGTGTGTGTTTTCCAGGACTAAGTAGTTGATGATGAACAGGTCTGCTGGATCCATAGGTGAAGAGCTCACAGATGAGGAGAAGGAGATCATCAACAGTGTCCTGGCGCGTGCCAACATGATGGAGGCCACGGAGCAGGAGAGGATTAGGTGAGAGAGAGAGAGAGAGAGAGAGAACGTCGTGATCACATGACCACGGCTGACGAATCTGCAGGCAGTAGGAGATCAGCTGAGAAATACTGATGTGAATCCACTTCTGTTCTCTTCTCATATTTGTGTGTGTGTGTGTGTGTGTGTGTGTCATCAGGCGTCTGTCTTCCCGCCTGGATGATATGAAGAAGAAGGCGTGCGGCGATGGCCAATCACAGTGTCTGTTTTGTGGGACGGTGTTTGGACCACAGGGCGTCACAGCTGTCCTCTGTGTTCACTGCAGGAAGGTACTGTAGGTAGATGGGTTTTAATTCTGCAACACGGACAAAGGACAAAGTCAAACCAGAAAAAAGAAGATAAAAGACAACAACACGACATATTTATTTTCTTCATTTATTTATTTATTCCACATTTTAAGTGCACACCTTTGTTTATGTTACTGACAAGCATGAAAACATTAACATCATACTGAGAGTTCGTCATTACAGTAAAGCCAACAAATATATGATGATAAAATATGACTTAAATTAAGATGAATGTAGGTTTGACCATTTATTGGACAACATTTGAGAGAGAGCTGAGCGTCCCTTCAGACGTACAGTGTGAGTGTGTGTTCTTGGTGTTTCTTCTGGGATGTACAGTCCATCAGAAGTTCCCCCAGGCGATACAGTGCAGCTGAGCCGTCCACTAACTCACTCTGACATCACACTCTCCATCTCTCAGCTCTCAGTAGGTCGGTGCTCTGTGCACCTGCGGTCAGGACTGCACCTCACCGTCACTGTACGTGTACTCAATCTGTGTACTCAATCTGTGTACTCAATCTGTGGACTCAATCTGTGTACTCTTTTGTAGCACATGTGCAGCAAATGTGGGATCTGGAGCAACAGCAAGAGCTCCCCCGTGTGGCTGTGCAGGATCTGCAGTGAACACCAAGAGGTGAGACCACCCAGAGAGGGTGGCATAAAAATCCAGGTTCCACTTTATTTCTGTTGGACGTTCAGGTCATACACAGATTTTCTAGATTGAGTTTTTGCCTCTGTTGTGGATAAATCTGAAAATATACGTAAGACATGAGGGGCAAAAAAACCAAAAAAAAAACAGAAACCATAAGGCTAAATCATGATACTGTTCTTTCTCCTCAAACCAGCAGTGAAGGTTTCCCCCCCCCCCTCTCTCACTCTCTCTGTCTCTCTAGCTATAAAAAAGAATTGCACTTCAAAGAGCAGCAGCCTGGAAAATTACCTTTCACTGATCGGTGCTCTCTCTATATTTCTAAATAAATAATGTATGAGTGGATGATTTATTTTAGCCATCATCTCATTATAGAAGGATCGGAGCATTAGAGACTGATCAGTGGTGAAAACCGACAACTCTGTTCATTTACCTAACTGTGCTAAACATATTGAGATAAAATTCTTTTTTTTAAGTCGCACAAGCCAAAAAATTCATAATGAAGAAGAAAAAACCCCACATATAAGTCGCATATATAAGAGTATAAGTCAGCTAGAGTGCCCTCTAGTGTGTGAGAATAACAAACAAGTGAAATTATATATTTTAAAATATATAAGTCGCAAACCCAGCCAAAGGATGAAAAAAAGTGCAACAGAAAATACAGTATGTATAGAAACAGGAAAGGTCATCAGCTGGAGTGACTTATCATTTGAAATGGTGGAATATTCACAGAAGTTTGAAACAAAAAATCTGTCTTCGGATGATTATGACGTCCTTAAAGAACATTCTATCACTAGACCACACCAATATGACAACAACAACAACAACAACAACGTCCAACCTGTTAGTATGAACACAAATGTGCTGCAGCAGGTCAGATGGACAAAGGGTTAAAATTAGATTTATATGACAGTGGAAGTGAGATGAACCTGGTGAAAGGGCAGGACGGTTGGTCACCGTATGTTAAAGTTAGTAAAGATGAAAGAGTGGTGTTTGTGACCAGGAGAGGATTTCAGTTTTATTACAAACTGGAAATGTCAAAGGAAATAGAATTTGAACTGTTTAATGACGACGCTGTGGTCGTGGTCTCTGCCTCAGGCAGATCTTTAAAAAAATGCTCTCTCATGTCAGTCACATCGAATATTTTCCATTTTGGAAAACAACAGGAGAAGCTCACAGTGTCAGTCCTAAAATGTACAACGAATGGAATTTTTAAATTTATTTTAAATTTCACCCTCCGTCTTCCTGCAGCTCCATAAGCGTTCAGGAGCCTGGTTTTTCCAGGGAAGAGAGCAGCAGAGTCTCCCTCCTCTCCTCCCTCTGTCCAAACCTCAACAGTCCAGCACGGAGCGCGGTTCTGCTCCTGTGGGGGCCAGCAGCCGCCCTGAGCAACCTGCAACACTGGACCATCCACAGGGTAAGAGTCCACACAGGATCAACCAAGGACAGTGGAGACTGTAATCTCTGTCTCTCATGTGGGTCAGTATTGCAGACATGTACAAGGTGAATTTGTTGGACGTTTTAATTTTGTCTTCACAGCCCCGCAGCAGCAGCAGCAGCAGACGGCCGGTTTAACAACTGACAGCTCTGAGGGACAGACGCCTCCAGCTGCAGTGAAGAAGGCGGAGGCTCATGTGTTGGCCTCCAAACCACTTCAGTCCAAACTGCAGCACGCCACCCCCCCCTCAGGTAAGGACTGGTCTGACATCAGCAGCACGTCATGTTGGAGGGTGTGAGTAAATAACAGAAGAATCACCACAGAAGGATTATGGTCTGGAAAAATAATAAAATATTTTGACAGTAAGTAGTAGTTTAACTATATGGAGAGCCCTGACTGACGAGCAGTGATGACTACTTTGACCCCTACTATATATGGTAGTACTATTGTGTAGTAGTATAGTGTCAAGAGATTGTGGTCTATTTCTAAATGATAACGACCCTTGAACTTCGGAGCTCCTGTGTCGTGCGATTTGATTGGCTGGTTTTCTCGAAGGACAGTCCGTGGCAAAATCGTTTACGTTAGCAGTGAGCATAATGGGTCGCATTTTGTTTCCGAAATACAACCGACAGTTGGACGGTGGCGGTGACTTTCTCTGGAGGATGAAGTAATGATGCGAACTGATTCTTTGGTTTTTTGAATCTCCAGATATAGTGTGGCGTCGTTGTGCTCACGCCAACTGTGACATCATCAGCAAATACAGCAAAGAGTAGTTTTTTTTCCTCATAGTTTTGCATTTGGTGTCATTTTCAGACATTTCCGTTGCGCTGTTTCACTCTTCTCCTCTGCTCTGTTGTAGATGTGTGGAACAAGCTTCCACAGCCTGACGTCTCTGCAGCCATCGTCCCCCCCGTCCACCCTCCTGTGACTCCCCAGAGACCGACACCAGAGCGAACAGAGGAGGAGGACAATGATTACGATTCAGACGATGCCAGTAAGACCACGGCCAACACTTACATTTACTGTGTGTGTGAAACAAAATATAAGAGACTGTATTTACTTTAAAAAAAAAAAAAAAAAAATCTGTCAGAATAGAATATTTTCCTTTGTGTCTGCAGCTGGACATTCACATTAGATCAAACGACAAGTAACATTTCAAGGTCATTGGTTGAAACGAGGGATGTCTGATAATATCGGTCGGTCGATATTAGCATATATTAGCATAATTACATAATATCGGTAGGATCGTTAACATTTTTTTCTCCAATAATGAAAATCCGATAACACAATGCCTGGGTTTGTCAGATTTGCTGGCATTTGACTTAGCTGCATATATCGGAATGACCCTTTCAGATCCTCATACTGACCATGTCCACGTGTCTCTGTCCTGCAGCTACTCTTGGATCTCTGGAGTTCAGTCTTCTTTATGAGCAGGACAACCACACCCTGCACTGCTGCATAATAAAAGCCAAGGTAAACACACGTGACGAGACAGTGGCAAAGTTAAATCAAAATAATCGGTTTGGGTGAGGAGGCAAAAAAGAAAAAAAAGACAACATGAATGCAAGGTGACGGGGCAAGACAGGGTGACGAGAGAAGTCGTGATGAAGTGTGATAGGACACGAAGAGACATGATGGAATTGGAGGAGACGGGATAAAACCAAATTAGTAAAAAGACCAGCCAAGACAAAGAGGCTGCTGCTGCCGGAGGATTCTGTTAGATCAGTGTTAAAGTCAGTGAGTGAGTTTTACTGCAACATACGGTAAGATTTGGACCAAGTCGCTCAGAACTTGTCGTCTAACCAGCAGCCAATGGGAATCAAGGCAAACTTACAACTAACACAGACTCTGCTGGTGCCAGGTGGCATGATATGCTATTGGTTCATTTTCATCCTGAGTGGAAGAGAGAGGTCCAGGAGAGGGCGCTGTGTCGTGAAATGATAGTTAGGTAACGTGTGTTTAATTTCGTTATTGTTGCTCCTTCAACTGTAATCATTCAATCTGTCATTATAAAGTAGGGACGACCACATGTGGTAGACATTGGTCATGGATCCACAGAATGATCACTATAAAACCATTGCACCAGCTAGACCACAGGTGTCAAACTCAGGCCCGGGGGCCAAATCTGGCCCGCAGTGTAATTATATTTGGCCTGCGATATCATATCAAATGTATACTAGAGTTGGAGTATATAGGCCCTGTATACTGGCAGGATCTGTAGGATTAGCGCTGCATGTGCTGTGCTATAGCACTTACATTTAGTTTTTTTTTGTTAATGACCTGTGAAAAAAAATATTTACATTAAAAAGGAACTCCAGAGGCTACAGATAAAAAGACATAATAAGAAATAAAGACCAGTGATGTGTGCTTTATTTCAAATTTAATTTCTCCGTTGTAGGGGAAAACATGCTCAATTGCCATAAAGTTTTCAATAAATATGCAGTTTGACCCACGACCTCGTCCCACTTTTTAATTTTGGCCCACTGTGAATTTGAGTTAAACCACTGCACTGTACTTGACGTGTGTCCAGGGATTGAAGCCCATGGACTCGAACGGACTCGCTGACCCCTACGTCAAGCTGCACCTGTTACCTGGAGCCAGTAAGGTACAGTTGTTGTTGTTATGGTTCCAGTCTGTGGCTTTTATCACCCGCACTAATGTAACATGTTTTTGTTCCAGTCTCTGAATCATTGAAGTACAAGTTGACTTGATGACTTGAGCAACAAAATAAAAATGTTCAAAAACAAAAATCAGCCGCACTTTAATACAGGAGACCTAACCACACACAGCTGTGGAGAAAATGTTTTGAAAATGTATGACGTAACGACTGGGCTCTCGCTCGATGCAGCAAATATGTGATCACACATTTGAGGATTTATGGTTCACGTGGTAAAAAGCTGTCATTTTAATGTTTTTCTCCAGAGTGAAGGAGAGCAGTGGTTTTTATAGCTTCTAATATGGTTCTCCTCCTCTCCTGTTCTTCTCTGCTGCTCAGTCTAACAAGCTCCGCACCAAGACGCTGAAAAACACTCTGAATCCTGTGTGGAACGAGACGCTGGTTTACCACGGAATCACCGATGATGAAATGTCCCGCAAAACTCTACGGTAACAAAACCAGTTTTACGTCCTGTGCACAAATGACACCAAAAATGTGGATTGAGTTCTGAATGAGTGCTCCATCTGCCGTCAGCCTTTCAGTCAGTGACGAGGACACGTTTGGACACAACGAGTTCATAGGAGAGACACGAGTGGCTCTGAAGAAACTGAAGTTCGACCAGAAGAGAAACTTCAATGTCTGCCTGGAGCGGGTCATCCCGGTGGGTGGATGGGTTTTTGTTTTCTGACCTGGTGATTTTTCTGTCCTGAGGTTGTTTAACCTGTTGACAAGTTTAGTAAAAAAAGAAAGTCCCCGATTATTTTGCAACTTAAAATAAACCTTGTTATGATACAAATTGTCAGGCCAGAACACATTGGCCTGAGCACCACAGATTAAACACACAACCTTTGACCTCTGGGAATCAACATTCAACCATCCAAACAGGCAGCATTCTCTATTTATTCTTCTTTATTTGGTGAGATGAAGGTTTGAGGGCAGAGATCTCTGTGGCTGTTTAGGCAAGCACGTGCACGTGCACGTGTACGTGCACGTGCCTGGCCACAAGAAAAAGTATAAAAATGTAGAGAGAAAAATATATATATAAATATATGGTTGTATGTATGTATATCTTCCTATATATGTATGTATCAATATATTTCAGTATATATATGTATATATGTATATATATACATATATATATATATATGAATGTGTGTTGAACTGTTGATTTATCTAAACATTTGAATCGTGGACTTATAGATGTGTGTTCAGGAAAAGGCTGTGTTCATGATACATATATTTATTGTCGTAACAGTCTTTTAATGAAAGCTTAATTGATGATTATCGTTTTACGTTTCTGTCCAAAGGTGAAGAAGGCCGTGGGAGGCTCGTCCCGCGGCATGGCTCTCTACGAGGATGACGTAAGATTCCACTTAGGTGGACCTTTTAAATCATACGTCCGCTCGTCCTAAAGGCTTCCCAGCATATTGGCATGCAGTACTACTGCAGTACTGTACTGTGGTACTGTATGGATGATAGTTTCCTTTAAAGACAGATGTAATGTCAGCCGGACGTGATCGACCCAGATTAAATATAAAACTCACTGTTTCATCTATCGGTTACACTCAGTCTTTCCGGAAACACTACCCCTGCTCTCACGTTACCTAAGACAAAAAAAGTCTTCCTATTTATGGTAATGTACAGATTATCACTGAGCGGTGAGGAGTGAGAGGGAGATGAAAATATTCTTCCTACTCCTACAGCAGCACAAGCACCAACTCCCTGTACTGCAGTATCTTAAAAACCCAAACTAATGGATGAGTACGGTAATTAAAATTAATGTCAAAATAGAAGAAGAAATTCAAAATTCAAGAATGAAACAGTAGACAATGAATGGCTCTACTGCAGTATTTACTGATACTATACAGCAGGGGTGTCAAACATACAGCCTGCGGGCCAAATCCGGCCCACTGGGGAGTTCAATTTGGTCCACTTGATGAATTTTGAAAGTGAAAAAAATGCACAAATAGTACAGTTTATAGGTGGATACACTCAGTGTGTGTGATACTCCGCCGTTCCAGTGTAACAGCTCAAAGGGTCAAAGAAATACAGTACAGTTGGTGCTGAAACGATGCACTAATTTTCTAGTACTTTGCTGTGAATAATATATATGTAAGTGCAGTAGTGTATCTGTGTATGTCTGTCTATGTCTGTGCGTTCTCCTGCAGCTAAATGAAGGCGAGGATTCAAAGGAAAGAGGTCGTATCTTGATGTCACTGACGTACAACAGTCAGCAGAGTCGTCTGATAGTGGGCGTGGTCCGCTGCGCTCACCTGGCTCCCATGGACTCCAACGGATACTCGGACCCTTTTGTCAAAGTGTATGTTTGACTCTCAGGAACATTAGTGTTGGCAGAGTTGAAATGTTGAAGTATAGAAGTGATTTTATTAAGAAAAAAGAAGCTCTCTCATCAAAGTAAAAAAGTGAAGTAGGTGTAGTTGGGATTTCATTTTTTATTTTATTGATGTAAATTCAGATGAACTTACATCCTTATCTCCCTCCTTATCTCTGTCCTGGTCATGTGACTGGAGTCAGCTCCACATCAGGTGTTACCTTTGTAGCCGAACTGTTGAATTAAACTGTGACATCAATTTTATTTGGCAAAATAAATCATGTATTTATTACTTAATTTGTATTTTAATCATATTGAATGTGAGCCGATGCAGGTGGAATGACTGGGTTTTACAACTAAAGATAAAAAATTCATTTGATACAGATAAGGTTTTGTATTTGTCCGTTTTATCTCGGGGTCATTTCTGATTCAGATATTTGAAGCCAGACATGGGGAAGAAAGCCAAAAACAAGACACAGATCAAGAAGAAGACCCTGAATCCAGAGTTTAATGAGGTCGGTGCTTTTTTTTATTTTCTGTTACGATCGGTTTTACTTCTGCTGTTGATCCTTCAATAAACTCTTCTCTGTGTTTTCAGGAGTTCAGCTATGAAATAAAACACACAGAACTGGCCAAGAAAACGCTCGAAATCTCAGTGTGGGACTACGACATGGGAAAATCCAATGATTTCATTGGTGAGTTAATATTGACTATTGATCACATGTCAACTCAGTTGGTCTCTGAGGGGTCAGGGGTCAAAGTGGAAATGTACGTTTGATTATTCCATCCGCACTCAAATATTAAACAGCCGTTAAAACGATTTCCATTTAGACCTGATTGACAGCGGGTTTAAAAAAAAGTTTGTCGCCATGGTAACAAGAGCACTGTGCTCCACATTCTCACTGTTGTGCTGGACCAGCCTGATTCACATGGCTGTGGGTCTGACGTATGTTTTTTTTGTTCTCTTTTTTTTCTCTTTGTCACTGACCTGATCCTGAGCTTCAACGGTTCATGATGTTCAGAGAATAGATTTTATTCAGGTTCTGTCTGTGCCTTCAGGGGGCAGTGAAGGCAGAGAGTGGACAGACGCTGGTCCAGTGCTGGTCCAGTACAAACTTAGCTTTATGAGAGTATAATTTTTTTTTAAAAAGGGTGGGGGGGGGGTCTCTTCCCGAACAGACAGTGTGACACAGTTATGTCACCAAAACCCACATGAACGCAGTAAACTGTTGACTGAGTCAACATTACACAGATCACTTTCTACTTTGGTTTTTTGTCCAAAGATACATTTTCCACCAAACAATTCATACTAACTGCATAAGTACTTAAAAAGGTCTGGTACACATTCAGCCATAATATATGTATGTATAAATATAAATAAATGTATATGTACACCTATAAAATATATATGTATGTGTGTATATATGTACATATATGTTTATATTTATTTATGCATATATGTACATACTATGTATGTACTTTGTTATATTAAACTGTTCCTGGTGACATTTATAAATGTATTTAGCTTTTTGGCATTGAATACTAGTTTTTTTTAGTTCAACATAAATTTGTGTTTTTTTTTTTTTTATCTTAACCATGTGAAGTCACAGTGGAATTGTTGGCCATGCCTCTGCAAATGTCAAGCTTTTCAAAGTGATTATTTTGTTTGAAACATAAATGCAGAAACAAAAATGCCTATTATTAGTACCACTGCCATGGAAACACTACTGCCTCCTGCGTGCACTACAGAGGTATTACAATAATTGAAAGGTCCTGATTCATATTACTGTGTGACATTAAGGTTTTGTCACACGTCATCAGATATGCCGATATTGTCCAAACACTTCATTTCTGATTCCGATATCAACAGATACCAATATCTGTAGCTGGGTTAAAGGCTGAATTCACAGTTCTTCGTGTGCAGTCGTGTGCTGTGTCACAGTGACAGTAATTCACTTGCACTCCAAAACTATTTTTAGGTCACATCTGGTCAAAACCCAGGCATTACGTTATCGGGTTTTAATTATCGGAGGAAAAACCAATAACGATATTGATTATGCTAATATCAACTGATAATATTGATTGGCCGATAATATCAAACATCCCTACTAATGACCAAAGATTTCACGACCCTCGTGCAGTACCTCCCTGCAGCCACATGTTGAAGCCCTCTGGTCTGATCTGTAAACCATGGTTGTGCTGTTTCAGGAGGCTGTGAGCTGGGCATCCAGGCCAAAGGAGAGTGTCTGAAGCACTGGTACGACTGCCTGAAGAACAAAGACAAGAAGATAGAGTGCTGGCACGTCCTGTTGAATGACCACACCCTCCAGATGGAAGATTAGAGCTGTGGAAATAAAGTGTGTTTTTTTCTCTGTGTGAACAAGTAGACAAACATTATCTTCTGGCTTTTACAGTTTGTCAAAATATTCAAAGATATATTTGTGGCAGGAGAAGGTGTTTTTGAATTTTTCACCTATTCCTTGTTTTTACATTTTTCCACCCCATCGCTTGCGCCCCCTACTGTTGAACCAACCATCCCCGTGTTCTTAACTGCCCTACATCCGTAAACCTTCTCTGAGATCTTCCTCTTTTTCTCTTGCTTGGCAGCTCTGTCATAATCATCATCATCAGTGGCGGCTGGTGAATAATATTCTAGGTGGCGCTGTTCCACAGGGAGGCAATTTGTGATTGTGAAATGACTCCATTCAACTGTTTTTACTTTCTTTCCATTTTGTGTTCCCTGGGTTTTCTTTTTCATTTCCATGACTATTTTGAGTTGCATCATTTTACGTATGTTACTTTGAGTTCACACTCTATCTCTACACTATTATAAACTGCTGTTTACATTGAAGCTCTTGTTAATAATGTCTGTAATGTTTGCTATAAAGTTGAGACCAGAGGGAATTCCCGGTTTTCCAGTTCTGACCTTTTGCCCCCGAGTCGTACGAGATCATATACTGTGTTATCAACTCTTCTGTACGACCACGTTGTTCAAGTGCTTGCATCACCAAAACAATGCTTTCAGTAGTTATCGTGTTAAATATTAAATGAAACGCCCACTCGTGTGTTTGTGAGCAGTTTCCTTGTGTTGTTCAATAATGAGTTCCGACGACGTCACTGAGGAAAGTTCAAGTCAAAATTCTTGTTGACTTCACGGAGTCAAAGTAATGTGAGGGCTGGGGGGGTTAATGTAATTTTTCATTTAAAAATGACGTCACAAGTTATTGTTTTACTGAAAAACCTCATGTTTGAAAGACCATCTCACCAGCCAGAATATGTTGTTGGAGTCAAATAGATCGTGAGGAACTGAGGACCAATGAATATTTTTGAGGACAAGACACTTTACCTGAATTATTGAGCTACATTTAAACATATTTAGAAATTTCTATTCTAATGTGTTAATGATGGTTAATCACGTCTTTTTATGATTATGATTAATCCACTGCTACATTGTGATAAATTTTTAATCATTCCACAGTCACTATATATATATTTTAATTTGTTTGGTAACAGAACCTTAAAAAAAGTTTTCAGTATCCAGTGACGTACTTTGGGCCGATATCAGTTCAGTATTTGTACTAAGAACTGTATCTAATGTCCTAATGAGGCTAGGCTTAAATCCAATGAATAATCTGTGATTACAGATTACCATGTTGTTTTCAGGATAGAAATAAAAAACAAGTTATATATATATAAATAAGCTTATATTTAAACATATATGTGTATATGTATATATATAGCTATATATAAACATAAATGTCAGATATTTTGGAGGACAGTACTGAGTTTCATCAAGTAATTACAAAATAATTAGCTTTGAAATATAATAATTAGATCTATATATATATATATATATATATATATATATTTCCATATATATTTGACTTGCAGGTGTCCAGGTCATAGAACCGTAGCCTATTGTTAGCTCGGCCCTGAACCGTGGCTGGGTTACGGGCAGGGGCGGCGGGCTTTGAACTTTGACTCCTCCTGATTATACTTCACTCTTACTAGGCCAAAGGTAATGGACTTGTTACACTCTGAAAAGAATTTGTGTCCCTCAAATTTTATCTCCAACATAATCCACCGTCCTTATCTAGTCTCAAAATAAACCAGTACAACTGATCTGTGGTCCAGATCTGCAGTGAGATAAAAAGAAGTTTGGTACATTGAATCACGTGGTTGGTTTATATTATCAATATAAAAATAATAATGCTATAAAAATTTTAAAAAAGATTTGGTGATGCACAAGAAACTTAATTTATTACATTACAGAGATAAAAACAACAAGAGCAAAGTCCTGTGATTTTATTTTACGATATCAATAATTTTCAAAATTAACATATAGAAAGGGAAACAGTACAAACAAGAACAATACGACAACTACTGTACATGAATGGACCGAACATTTACTCACGTCATGAATTATGTAAATATTATTTATATTTGGGCCAAATTAAGAATGAGAAATTAGGGTATTAAAGTCATACATTTATTAGATTTAAGTCGCAAATTTATGATAAGACGTAAATTTCTGAGTGTAAAGTCGTAAATTAAGGAGAAAAAAGACGTAAACGAGAAGGAGAAAATCGTACTTTTAGGAGGAAAACGGTCGTAATTTTATGAATGATAGTCGTAAACTTTATGTGAATACATTTGGAATATTAGAATCAACATCTGACTCGTGAACTGTCAAATTAAGTTTCTGTTTTTCTCGTAATAATTATATTAGCGGTAGTATAAACGTTAAAAGACGTTGTTCTGACCTGTCTCCTCCAAAACGTCATCTGAATGTCAATTTTCTAATCTGGTAAATTCACTTTTTTCTTTCAAACTTACCTTTTTGGTTCTCGTAATTTAACGACTTTAATCTCGTAATTTTATTTTATTCTCAAAATGTACTACTGTGTTAAATATGTAAATATACAAAGTGCAACAATAAGTGTGTGGATGATGGTTCTTCTGGTCTGTCCAGATCATGGAGGTCATGTCCGAACCACATCAAACTGTCTGTGTGTGGAATAATCGACCGATACGTCAATGGCTCAATGTCACTGCCAGTGGGTGGAGAGAGAGAGAGGGAGATGGAGAGAGAGAGAGAGAGGGAGGTCACATGACTCAGGCTCATGTACTTGACCCCGGCCTCCCCCCCTTCCTGTTTTAAACCTCTCTCCGACCTCTTCCTCTGCCTGTTTGGGTTAGATGTGGAGACCTGACGTGTCACCTGACATCTACCGTACCCTGAACGCACCACGATGACGCACGTGGCTTCGCTCTTCATTTTAGCGTCATCCCTGACGTGGATGTCAGCAGAAGCCTCCATCCTCTGTGTTTGGACCAAAGTTCTGCCCAGTGGAGATGTTCACAGCAGCTTCCTGCGGCAGGACTCGCTCTCTGTGCGGCTCTACCACAGCGTCTGGTCCCGGGAACAAACTCTGCAAAACTGCGCGTGGAGCGACCAGACGTCTGTGATCGACAACTACCTGTCAGCCTGTCGGCAGCGCAGCCAGGACTTCAGTGATCACCTGCAGCTGCAGCTGAAGTTGGAGCTGGACTCCGTTTCTGAGGCGGACTGTGACTCTGTTGACTCCTCCAGGACGGAGACGGCCGGGTGGTTCACTCAGAAAAGGTCTGTGAGGAGCGCTGGTGAGAGACTCCCAGCTGGAAATAGCCAGGGTCAAGATGGACGGTCAGAGGTCAGGGGTCATTCGCGGTGGAAGCGAGGTTTTATTGTACCCGGGACTCTGTGGTGCGGTTCAGGCAACAAGGCGCTTTCATTTACTGATCTGGGTAAGTGATCCTTCAGTTTAATATACCTGAGAGATGACACCTCACAGAACCAGACGGTGGGATGGTTACTGCACCATAGGAGTTGTTCAAGCAGTCTAGGCCTGTGGCAGCACAAACACAGTATGGCTAAGGTTCCTCTTCAAAACAATCGCATCATTTTGTGATAGCATTTTGTAAATATTTTCAATATTCTGGTATAAATCTAAACTAAATGTTTGGTTACATTGAGAAGACAACATTTTTCAAATTTGAATTGACTAATCATAAAATATTTTTTCATATGATTCAAAAGCTATGCAGGGCGCCCCCTAATGTATATATTGTATAGCTTTATGATTTATAGTGAACGTGACCAACTAGGATATACAAATGTACCTTCATGTTGTGATAAAGCGCACGTTAACACTGTTTGTTTACGTTTTTATTTTAAACTTCAGAATTAAAAACACAGGTGAAGAGAACTACAGCAGGGGTGTCAAACATAGGGCCCGTGGTCCAAAACCAGCCCACTAGGGGCTTCAATACGGCCCACTTGATGAATTTTGACACTTCATGTCATGTAAATATTTACTAATATACTTGAACACCCTCTCTCTGTGTGTGGCGTGGTGTTTCGCAGGAGTGTTTGCAGACACCGACAGCTGCTGTCGAGAACATGACCAGTGCAAACACACCATCCTGTCCTTTCACTCACAGTTTGGAGTTTTCAACCGAAACATCTTCACCATGTCTCACTGTGACTGTGACAACAAGTAAAGGCTTCCTTTAAACATGATTTAAACGGTTGACTGTGTGTGTGTGTGTGTTTGACGTTGTGTGGGTTTCACAGAAACCTCGTCTTACTGTCATTGTCATATTGTGCGCTGCAGATTCCGTCAGTGTCTGAGAGACGCCGACGACAGTATCTCTGACGCCGTGGGTTACACCTTCTTCAACCTGCTGAAAATGCACTGCTTTGAGTTCTCACACCAGCTGCAGTGCACACTGAGAAACTGGTTTGGAATGTAAGTCCTGTCCATCGACAGTTAGTGGTTGATTTTATTGACCATCTGTATCAGTGTCAGCAGTGATACTCGTTTTTACACTCAACAGCAACATCAACTGAGATGCATTTATTTTGATGAGGATCTGATTTGTCATGTAGCATGGATCTGTTCCCACCAGAGGCTCATGTCTGACAGAAAATCACAGAAGAAAATCTGATTTTCTTGGCATTTATCTGAAAGTGCTGTTGCTGCATATTTGAGTTTGCAGTCTCCCTGTTTCTCCCCCCGACATAAAGCTTAAATTAAATTAGATTAAATATTTTTAGTCCCTGCATCACAGCTGCATCATGTCTGTCATTTGATGGACTAGATGGACTTTTGACATGAGATCAAGTTATGTTCATCACACTTGGTTTTTATTTGTGAGTATTAACACATTATTTTCCACATCCCTAATATAGACAGGATATATAAATATATAGGCTGTATATAAAGACATGTCCCTTAGTGACAGGAAATGAAGTCAAGACTGTGTGAGAGAGAGAAAGAGCACCAACTAGTGGAGAAGAAAAAAGGTCATTATCATGACAATCTTTAACATATATGTTTGTTAATAAAGTTAGACAGGGAGAATACTCAGCACATCATGGGAATACACGCAGCAGACTAGGCCTAGAACAACGTAACAACCCAGAGTTTTATTTTTGCAACTTTAGAATTCTTGGTCTCAGATTTTAATTTGGACACTTTCTCACACATACAAGGTCTGTTCTGCTGAGTTGGTGGAATGGACATGGACATGGACAAAATGTCCCAACCCGACAGGCTACACAGACCTACTGACACAGACCCACTGACACAGACCCACTGACACAGACCTGGGACAGACACTGAGCAAACACTGGTTATTAGACACATATTTGTAAGATGTCACTGACAGCTGCTCTGATGTGATCTGACCTGACGTGACGTGACGTGACCTGACGTGACGTGACGTGATGTGGCGTGACGTGACGTGACGTGACGTGATGTGGCGTGACGGGGCGTGACGTGACGGGACCTGACGTGACGTGACGTGCCCTGACGTGACGTGACGTGACGTGATGTGATGTGATGCTCATATTGTGGAGTGTGTTGCTTACCTTTCACACAACGTTTTAACCTCTCTAAGGTGCAAAGAGACGAAGCAGGCTCTGTATGCTGAGGTCCACCCGCCCACGCTGTATGAATCGACCAATCCCACGGGGACAGTCGTGAACGTCACCAGCCCACTCCTCAACACTACAGCACCTACAGCACCAGTGCAGAGTCCCACAGCAGACCCTCGGCTTCTCCCCATCACTGCTGCTACACCGTCGACTGTCTCACCAGCGCTGACAACAACGCCCTCTATCGACACAGACGCGCAAATGACACAATCGCTGCCTGAGACACTGAAGACTGAAATGAGTGCCGACACGAAAGGTAACTTTGTTTATTTTAACTTTGTTTGGTAAATATATATGAGGAGAATTTGAAAATGATTTAGACTGAAATGAATTAGATCCCTATTTTAAATATGTTTCTTTAGAAGTCTAAATATTTCTGTAAACAGTATGTCCATCAGAGAATTATTTATTTTGGTAAAATTCTGGGTGATGTCTTTCACACCAGGTCACAACCTGTGACTCTGCTTTTTTTTAAAATGTATTTATTAAATTAAGATTAATTAAAACGTTCCTTAAACTTTGTAAAATAAGTAATAATAATTAAAATTGTCTTATGTGTTGACACATAAGAAACACATCTTTTAGTTAATTAGAAATCATTTTTTAAATGTATAACATGAGTTCTCTGACATATCCTAACATATTTTAGTTAATTAGAATTTTTTTTTAAATGTATAACATGAGTTCTCTCACTTTTTGACTTAACCTTGTTAAATAAAGTTTTGACAGATTAGTGTAGAGTGTTTACAGGAACTTTCTTCAAGGAGGATTTTCTTCCAAGTCTATTCTTGAATCTTAAAGGTTGTGTGACAGCAGTGACTGAACCTGTGTCTCTTTAACAGAGCTGCGTCGATCGTGTGCTATTTACAAAGGTCTGGATGAATGCACCGACGTGATTCTTCCACAGCAGACCAAGTACGGCCTTCACAACCCCGAGACCAGGACAATTTACCACTGCAACTGCACTGCCAGGTAAATCCAAAGGTTACACTGGAACACATGGCTTCAACTACAGCTTAGATTTTTTTCCTCCCACTGTACGTGAAAGAACGGGTTCTTCTAAATTAAAAGGCTCTGATTTAATAAAAAAGCTTCTGTTTCTAACAAGTTTGACTGTTAATGTAATGTTCCAAAAAGTCATGGTGATTGATGACCCAGTCAAGTCAGTTTTATTTGTATAGCCCAAATTCACAGAACACAGTGTCTCACTGTTGAGTTTTAAAAAGAAAATAGAAATAAAATAAAAATATCCTCCTACAAACTCATTTAAAAGAAGAAAAGATGCAAGACTGTAAACAGTAAATGTTTATGCTGAGTTTATAGTAACAATACAGAGTTTTACTTTAAATATTAGTGAAAGCCAAATTAAATCCCACATTGAGCAGCATTTTGGCAACGGTGAGGAGAAAAAACTCTTACAAGATCCTGAGATCACGTAGACTTTTGGATCCCTAAATTCTAAGCATTAAAACATTTCTGTAGATTATCATTTTCAAAGCTTCAGGCTATAATTACACTCATATATTTCTAAGCCCAGATTGAATGGTTTTGGTTTTAATTTCACAGCAGGCGTTGGCAGAGACAGTGTGATGTTTCATAACAGAAATGTACTGACGATGTAGTCAAACAGTCACTGTATGTTGCATGAGATGCCCCAGGTCTTTGAAGTATGTTCATAATTTATTATAATTTATTATAATTTATTTATTTAGAAGTTATTTTCTTCCTGGTGGATTTACTTCAGTCGTGTATTTTTTTTACCCCTTTCAGATCCATATTTGATTTGTCTCGCTCCTCTTTCAGATTATTCCAGACGTTGGTTAAACAGAGGCAGCTGACCAAAGTACAAGCTCATCTGTTTGTACATGTGTCGCCATCTTGCGTCCTTCCACAGGACTGCACTGCCGACGCAACGTTAGTATACAAACAGCACCTGAAAAATGACATAAAACATGATGTAATTAACCTTGTAACAGTCACAGGGTTATTACATGTTGAAGGGGAGATTTGAAGGAACACAGTTTTCTTTTCTATCTAGGTGTCAATTATTGCCATTTTTCACAAGGAGACTTAGCCTCAGCTAAAAAAAAGCATCATTTATCAATTTAAAATGGGACTTATCTTTAGTTTCAGCTTTATTTAGGTGAACAACAGAAGTTATATCTAAAATGGTATTAATAAGAGTTTGAATTTAGTCAAACATTAGTTAACTTTAGCAAGACAACCTAGCACACTTGTATTTATAATTTATATGTATTTATACTTTAATATATATTGTGATTTGCCACTTATTGAACTAAAAGGTTTTTAAAAAAAACAAGTTAGCTGTGTTTTCTTTTTAAAAAAGTTATATATCTAAGTATTGCAATGCAGAATTTCCTGTCAAATGTAAAAGCTAAAGCTAAAGCTAAAGCGACAATAATAATAAACTGGTATTCGACTAACATAACCGTTATCACTCTCCTGTTGGGTTGCCAGTTGTACAGCCACCCTGGTGAGGGCGGACCTTCCTCAGCACAGCCGGAGAAATGACACAGGCGTGGATGCGCAGCGCCCTCTAGAGGCGTTGACGTCGCAGGACAGACGGCCAAACAGCAGAAGAACAAGAAGGAAAGGCCGAGGTATGAAACTTCACAGACTGTGTCTCAGGATGCTGCGGCCCAAGGAGGTGAAAAGGACCAGTGGAAAAAGTCCAAGTGTTTAATGGATGACTGAAGTACTGTTAAATAATACCAACATGACCCTCAACATATGGAATACACTATATATTTAATGTCTTAACATTAAAATAGAGCTGTTGTGCAATAGATGATTTTATGGTTTTTATTTTTATTTTGAAGAAACTGAAGTTCATTTTCTAACCTTTTTATTTAACCGCCTTTTAAAGCCAACATTAAATTAAAGATACTGTACATAATACTCTTTAAACCTGGATTTTTAAATTGCAAAAAGGAAACACATGGTATAGGTAGGTATAAAACACCTTTTGTAAAGGTTTGTAAAGAGTTCAATATCACTTAGTGCGTATTAGTGCATAATTATGGTCAACTTTCAGCGGTTTGCTTAATTATTATGAAGGGATAGAAAAAAATGTGCGTTTTATGCAGCCCAATTATGTCTGCATAATTATGGTCAACTTTCAGCGGTTTTTGACATGCGTACGTACAACATTTGCACTATGTTGTGTGAATGCAACTATTTTGGACAGTTGTAAATGATCACCAGTTGTATGTAAACAATATGCATGTATTATTTTGTAAATACATACAATACATACATATATATTGTACAACAAAAAACAACAAAAAGCGAATGAACTGTCTGTAATCTGTAGATGTTTCTATGTTTTCCCCTGAGCTGCAGCCAAAGGTGGATTATGACAGATGTAAATTTATGTACATAAAACTGTAGTGACCTTTTTGTTATTGATGTGACTGAGATGTGTGACTAAATTAAAATAACCGTAACTGTTGTCAAGTAGTTTTTAAAGCAGTGGTTCTAACTTCATCTGTCAACCTAATATGGCGCCCTCTGCTGCTGGATGAAGTTTTACTTTCTTTCCTTTTAAAAAAAAATCAAAACCTTTCTTTATCTTGGGTCCCCTCTGCCTTATATTATACAAGCTAAAAAACAACAAAAACAACAACGTATTTCCCAATATAACTTTGCATGAAGAAACAATTATCAAGGCCCTTAATTGTCGTATTTTTTATTTTTATTAAAATATAGTAATGAAAGCGTCGTGGCCGTCCAGCATCAGTTATATCCGGGATAAATTGTATAAAACTGTAGTTGGGCTCCATGAGTTTCAGGGTCACGCGCGCTTTTGTCAAACGCACACTCACTTTCCCTCGCGTGCGCGTTCTCGCTCGCTATATGTGTTATATTTAATTTCCGGTTTTCAGGAAGAGGCTAACTGTAACTTCCGGGAAACTTGGGGGTGTGTACAGTTTACTCCAACTTCTTTTACCCTCGTATGGACTTACAGGGTAAAGTTTTTGTCCTCTTGTTGTTTATATTCTAAATGATAAAGATTTTTGTTGATGTTGCTAACTAAAAAAAAAAAAAGAAGTGGTAAAGAAACGGGACGGGATAAATAAAATTCCACAAGTTAATTACAAGCAGCAGCTCTTCACCGTCGCAGCACGAGAGGCCCGCTGTAATGAGTATCTGTCAGGTAACCAAACTCCGCTCTGATGTCATGAAGATGTAATTGAAACCTTGCTGAAGGCTGCAGCCAGAGAGCCGACCGGATCCCCGCCTCTCACCGGACTAACATTCCGCTAAGAAGGACAAGATCGGCTGTGGGAACATGGCGCACTCACTTCGGATTAACTTTCCCCAAGAAGGAGCAAAACTTTGCAGCGTAGCTACATAGAAAAAGATCGCACCATCTTGACCCGGGCGATAAGTTCGAGCGGCGGAGAGTGGAGAGAAGTGGATGCAGCTATTGTTGTGGACGCTGGCTGACTGTTTTCCTGCCCTGCTGCTGTCCGGCTGTGGGATGAAAGATTGGAGCCGCTGCCGCTGGATTTAGCAGAGATGGAAAAGCAAAGGACGAGGAAAGAAAAGGTAAAGTTGACCGGAAACACGGCGTGGATTTAGTTAACGGTTTTACAGATGACACCGTCCGCCGCTCAGTGAGTGTGTGTGTGTGTGTGTGTGTGTGTGTGTGTGTGGCAGCTGGACAGTGTGTGTGTGTGTGTGCTGGGGGAAAAGGCCGGGGGGAAAAAGGGAAAAGTTGCAGAAGTTGAAGAAGTTTGCGGCTGTTTACACTGAGACTGCTCATATTACACGGAGATGAGTGGACGCAGACACAACAGCGGAGGCTGCACGGACTGGCCGCTCCTTTCACACCGCACCGATCCACGCATTTAAGCCCGAGGATGTCATCTGGATGAGTGCTGACTTACTGTGATTTATGGACCTGACTGTCAGTGGGTGGGCGCTGAAGGGAACAGCCATCATCAGATGTAGCAGCACTAGCACTGAGCCTGAGATATAAAAAATAAAAAACAGGATAAAAGTCAATGAGGTTAAACAATGAAAAAAAAAACGGTTTTAAAAAAAAGTTTAAAGCTAGCTAGCTGGTATGCTATAAAAAGCTTACCGTAGATCCTATATAAAAAATTAAAAACAAAGAAACCTAAATATGTACAATATCTAGGTTTGACCATGATCTTGTAGAAAAGTGATCTGTTGTGGCTGAACATATTTTGCAGAAACAAAATATTAAGTTCAGTGACTGTGAAAAAAACTCACTTTTGGGATGTGGTCCACACAAAGTGGTCACATCGCGGTGCCTTTCCTGATGGAACCCAAACTGCACCTGGAACCCGGGGTCATACGACTCTATTAAGTTTTTTGACCTTATTTAAAAGAAAAACAAAAACAGAAAAACATCCTTAGAGTCCAACCTTAGAGCAGTCCTTTGTCTGCTGTAAAAACATCACCTAGCCAGGGTATTTAAAAAAACCCACAGCATAAAAATATACTTCCAGCAGACTGTGATCTAGTCAAAACATCTGTCATTTATTTTACATTAACTTCCTGGCAACTGGAATTAAACGGAGTTATTTTTGTGTTTCATTCCAATCTCAGGAAATCAAAAGACACATTTACACCGTTCTTTTACCAGGAGCGAGCTGAGGAGTGAGTAAATAATTGATCATCCTTCCTCCTATACACATAACATACAGCACATCGAGCACAAAAACACCCAGAGCAGCATTAGCCGTCAGTGTGGCGTTGAAGCCGTGTCACCAGATGACAGTGATTCATTGTCATCCACAGTGATAAATGACCAGATCCAGTGTAATTTAATTTTCTCTAGGCCTATTTTTCTGATGTTAATGCTAGCTGACAAAACTACAGTAAAGAAAGTTAATTTATGGGTTTGATACTTTTTTACTGTCACAAACAGTACCTTAGTTCACAGAAATGAAGCCGCTTTCCAATTTACTTGAATTTATGTTTTCAACTTAGAAGCCGCACCAGAATACAGCCACAAATCACAGCTCTTCAGACGTCGACAGAAAACTGGGTGACGTGTGCGTGAAAAACAAACAGAACTACAGCGATAACTATTAATACTCACTTTTGGTACTGTTTTTAAATGTTGCCCAAAGAACTGAGGATACTGTGTGTTAAAATGCATACGTCATTTAAGTGGTTCTCAGACTATGGCTCCTTTCTGGTACCATTGGTGGTACTTGGTTTCCCGGTGGTAGTACGTGCAGTATGTGGGGGAATCTGATTGTAATTATTTTCGTGTAGCTTTCGTAAAATACGTAAAGTTTAATTGTACTGCAGTTTTCACCGAGATATAACTCACAAACTGCTTCACAGGCAGATAAAAAGCAGGTTTGCTTGTCGTACTCCTTAAACCCTGACTTGTTGATAACCCAGACTCAGGCCTGAAGAATGCCTCATGAAACCGTTTGCCCCGCTGCCAGTGGCTGCTCCTCTTGTCTTGGCTCGATGCCTGCGACTTGACTTCCATCAGAGCTACAGGTCTGAGCTAAGAATCGCTATTTCCTTTTGTTCAGGTTTTTCAGCTTCACAGCTTATGTCACTGTTTGTGTGTTGTGAAAGGAAACGGGGAAATGTGTGTGTGTGTGTGTGTGTTTTGAGCCGTGAAGAATTTGAACAGGATATTCATGTTGTGTTGTGTCTGAATGTGAGTGTGTGAGAACACTTCTGTACTTTTGTTTTTTTAACTTGATCTTTTTCCTGTTACCAGGTCGCTTTCACACGAACAATTTATTTTATAACATGATTTCATGTCTTCCGTAACACGTCATGTCAAACTTATTTGTGCCCTGAAACCTCACTCCTGGGACTGTTGTATAAAAAAAAAGAAAGAAAGTGATGAAGTAGCGTTAGCTAGTGCGGAGGCTAAAGTGAAGAAATGGAGTGTTGATGTCCTAGAAAAGCTGCAGAGACAGAGTAAAAAAACAACAACAGAGGATAAGACCACAGAGTTTATAGGCAAAATAAGGCCCGGGGGCCGGATGCGGCCTGTTCAGCTTTTTAATCCGGCCACCAAACCTTTCCAAATTATATAATTTATTTAAATTATCATTATACTTCTGCCTTTTCCCTGCAATACCCACGTTTCCCTAATAGATGGCGTAGAAAATGATTTTTAGCTTTTTAGCATTTTAGCCATTATGCCTGACTTTTACATGTCCTTTATCTTAGTTCACACGAACGCTCCATCTGTCTGCTCCTGACCCGGCCACCCTGTTCAATTTTAGGACAATTGTGGCCCGTGGGTCAAAAAGTTTGCGCACGCCTGTTCCAGCCACATGTTTATTTCCTGTCGCCTTTAATGTTTGTGCATCTTTAATTTGTAATATTTGTTTAAGTTGCCTGGTGGTCAAAGGCCTGTTTTCCACCTCATGTGAATATGTTTAATTCAGGCCTTTGCTCAGATACTGTGATGGCGATGAATTATTTTATCATCTAGAAAAACATACTCCTCCGGGGTATCTGGGCAGTTCTTCCT